TCACCAAGGTTTCTGACCAATGGAGAAAACACGGTTAAACCAGCACACATCAATGGAGCAGCAACAGCTGATTCCAATGCGTCTGGAATTGGGAATACAAATTGTTCGTGAGCAATGGAGTGGGAAGAGTAACCACCTTGGGAGATGTAGCCAGTATCGAAGTCCTTAGCATTGTAAGTACTCACCTTTCTAGGACAGTATTGTTCGTTGTCTGTTTCACATCTTTCACAGTCCATACAAGACTTGGAGCAGGCACCAACACCGCATCTGTCCCCAACCTTGATGTCCTTGACGTCCTTACCGATAGCAATAACCTTACCAACTATTTCGTGTCCAACAACAAGGTCGTCTCTATTGAGTGGCTTCCATGCACCCTTGATGGTGTGAATGTCACTACCACATAATCCACAGCAGATGTTCTCCAACACGACATCATGCGATGCCAACTCCTTTGGCTTGTATTCGACCAACTTAGGCTTGTTCCAGTTCTCTGGCTTATCTACGGCAAATCCTTTGAAATATTGTGGGATGGTCATTCTTTATGTGTTTATAATTATGTATATATAATATTAATGAAAGCGATATATTTGATGCGACCAGCAGTCCATATATACCCGATTTCTACTAATTTTACTTTCGCTAGAGGTGGGGCACCACCACTCTCAATAGAAATTTCCCCAGGTCAAGAAATTACCCACCAATCCGGCCATTGCGAACATTTACAATACATATTTCCGGAAAAAAGCGATAACGAACAACAGAGACCTCAACATTGATATAAAGCGGATGAACAAAACTAACAATCCGCCGAAGTACCAAGACCGGTCACCCAGATACTCTATAATATATGTCTATGGCCTCGTCTAGCCTATTCAGCCTCTATTATATAACGCGTACTGGAAGCCTGTTAGTGAGCCACAACAAAATTCAGTCCCGCCCTCCACCAATAATCTCATGAACCCCCACCAGGGCCAAGATCTACCACATGGAGGATCAACACTCATTGCGACATTGCGACAATGTCGCAATGTCGCAATGTCCCATGTCGCGGTCCTCGTCACTATGTCGCCGAACTATTCGCTGCAATTCTCATTTCGTACACACCGGATCGCGTATTTAGTACGAATTGTTGCAATCAGTAAATCATATAACAATATGACACAAAAACAATTTCAATATAACAACTAATGTCTAGTTTTTTTTGGAAAATAGGGAACAAGTATATATGGAATTTTTTTTTTACATGGAAGTTAATTAAAGGAACATATTTTTTTACCGAAATAGGATTATTNTTTTTTTTTTACATGGAAGTTAATTAAAGGAACATATTTTTTTACCGAAATAGGATTATTGTGAAGAAAGATCTATTAATCAATTAAGAAACGATATATTGATAGCTGTTAAAAATTGTAGCTATTTGAGATGGTTTTATACAAGCGAAAACAGGTTACGTTTATAAGGGCACCTCCGGTGCCCTCCGATTTGAATACGGAGGTTTTTCACATACCGGCGACGAAGGAGTGGTTTCTTACGTATGAGGACTATTTGCAGAGAATGAACTATTATCATCGGAAAAAATTTGTTTGTGAAATCACCGGGAACTCATGCTTGACGTTTTTCCAGGCGATTGAGAGTGAGGCCAAGGAAATACAGGAAGTGGAGCGAAATTTTCCAGAGGCGTTGAAGGAACATATATTGAGGTTTTTACAGTTCAACCGGATCACGCGGTTGGACCAGTTGGTCGACAAGGTGTACCTGGTGTTCAAGAACGACTATTTCCCAGGAGAGACGATTATTTTGAAAGGGTCGATTCTCAACGGACAGACGGAGTCGGGGACGAGACAACGGGGCACGATCAAGGAAAAAATCCAGTATAGCAATCCGTCAGACGGGTTATTGACGAAATATCTTGTGGTTCGGGCAAACGACCAGAAACAAGCGATAGTCATAAACGAAAAGATATCACGAGACAGAAACCACTTCACGAAATGGCTTATTAAAGCATTTATAAAGTTGACGATGACCAGATCGCATAAGGTGGGTGCCCCATGGGTTGTGAAGAATAAGTTTGCTAAGAAATACAGAATCAACCAGAAGTATCCTGACGATTTGAAACACTTTCAATCGTCTACTCCAAGTAGTGATATTATGTACGAAGGAGACGAGTTACCGTCTGCAGCATTAGATGTTCCTAATGGACACCGTAAATTGATCAAGAAGTCTACTGCTACTTCGTCAAAGAATTTAAAGAAAAAAGCGGCTTTGAATAGTATATTGGATGAGCCACCACCAGCGATGACCCAGGAAGATGATATAAAGAAGAGACTCCCACCTCACCATATGCCTGATGTCTTGTCGGAAGTTGACGATGATGCACATAAAGCAAGTCCTCAGCCAGCTTATCCTACTTCTAAGAAGCTGACAGTGAGCGATTTGAATCTTAAATTTAATTTACAGTACTCAAAGCCTATTCCAGAAGTCCTAACTGTACCAGAGAATGCTAAGAGTTGGAACAATCATTTAATCCAAAAACAGAAGGGAGAACAAGAAACCGATAAAAAATTGGACCCTGAAATGGAAGAAGAGATCAAACGTCTTGGAGTTAGGAGTACCGAATCAATTCAGGATGCGTTGGAAACTTGGGTGTTCTTAAATGTGTATCACTCTGTTTTAAAGTTAGATACATTCACATTTGATGATTTTATATATGCCATGGGTTGGACTCATGACCAATTTAAGAGGATTGGTAGATGTGAACTATTGGATGAAATATGGTGTGCTGTTCTCGGGGCTATAGTCTCAAATGAAGTACCAAAAAACAAGTCCTTGAAGCTTGATAGCGACGTTATATATGGATTACAAATTACCTTACCCCTGGAAGATTCATATATCAATCCTCCCTCGAAAGATGACAATGAAAACGGAATTGGTCTTGACGAGAGAGGTTCTGATACTGACAACGAAGAAAATTTATTGAAAAGTGAAGACGATGCTGATAATGACGAGAGCCACGAGTCGCTTGAAATGATCAACGGTACTAAAGTTGATGCAAAAATTAAATCTGAACAAGAAGTAAAAGTCGACGATGAGAATGATGGTGATGATGAAGAGGAAGAAGAAGAAGAAGAAGAAGGTAATGATGAAAATGAAAATGAGGATGGACTCGAAGGAGATGAAGATCGTGAACATAATGCATATATTGTTATGAATTATCGTAATATTCCATGGCACGAGCGTCTTCGTAAAAGAAATTTCAGAGACGGTAATTGGCAGTGTATTTTACTTGGTGTATTATCGTTAGTTGAATATGTACCCGCTTTTAAACCAGTCATTGATAAGGTGTACCGCGTTTTGGCACCTATTGATATGCCACCAACTTCGAGTACTGTTATGAATCAATTTTACAATGACCTAGATATCGACTTAAAATTACAGGTTTTGAGCATTCTTGTTTCATTATTAATGAACGGGACCCAGGTTAGAAATTACATTGATGAATGTTTGGATTCGTCTACTGTTTTGAGACGTAATAGGTTGGACAATATAAGAGACTATAAGGTTTCGTATGATTTGGCGCAGAAATTACACTTTGAAATACATGAAAAGTTAATGAGCGCAAAAGAAGCGATGGAGAATGCTAAATCCAAATCCAAGTCTAAGTCTAAGAATAAACTGAAAGGAAAAGATTCCCAGACTGCCGCTAATCCTGATGCAGTTAAAAGAAGAATGCCTAGACTTAATTTACAGGCATTTGAAATGTCCGAACAAGAAAGCAAATTAGCCGAAGATGATAAGGGATTTAAGGACCTTTGTGAGCAAAGGAAGGAAGCATTGCTTAGTATTGAAAAGTATAAGCAGACTAAACGTCAACTAGAAAAGCAATTGAATGAAATAGATTGCCAAAGAGTTAAGTTATTGGGAAAGGACCGTTTATATAATAGGTATTGGTGGTTTGAAAATAATGGTTTACCTACGTTGCACAGTAATACAAATGACGTGGATGATAATGATGATGATGAAAATACAGCAGCCAACATGAATAATGATGAGGATGATGATAATGATGATGATGCGGTTTTGGACGAAACTTACCTTATGGGGAAATTATGGGTTCAAGGTCCTTCAAATGAAGATTTAAGGATACACTTTGAGTCAAATTTAGAAGATATTGATAAATACCATAATTTGTACTTGAATTATGAGCAAGAATTGGAAAATTTTTATAAATGCAACAATGACCAAGAAAAGGGTAATGAGGATTCTAGACAGAATAATAAGGAACCATTCAAGCAAATGAATTTCAATAAATTGCCTCTTGGTTTCCGTAGTATGAGTTCCGAAATGTTTGGATTGTCATTTGAGCCTAATCAGGTTACAAAGATATTGCCAGACTCGAAAGAAAAGGATATAGTTATCGACCATTTGGGAGGCCTAACCGTCTCATCATTAGTTAACTACTTGACTCCATTGCAACGTAAGGTTCTAGAAGAGAATCCAGATCCTTTATTTAGTGGGTCATATTGGAGATTTTATGACAAACCGGAACAAATAACAAAATTAATTGACTGGTTGAATCCTTGGGGTGAAAGAGAAGCTCTGTTGCGTAAAGAATTATTAATTGTTAAGGAAGCCATAATTCAAAGTATGACAGCCAGAAGAAAAGCATTATCTTTAGATCAGCAAGAAACGAAGGAGTTAGAATTGGAACATAATCTTCATCAGGTGACTGAAAAGCTAAAGTCTTTAGGTAAAGATATTGACTCAATATCTAATCTGAATGAAGATGAAGGCGAAACAGAAGAAGTACAAGAAGAAGAAGAAGAGGATGAAGAGGATGAAGATGAATTACGGGTTGGTCGTAACAAGCGTTTAAGAAACAAAAAAGTTCCTTCGAAGCGTCAAAAGACCAAATCGTTCGCTGATATAATAGGTAGCGACAATTTAAATGAATTGTCCAAATTATATTCGGACTTGTTGAATGAGTTACAAGAAGCAAAAGAGGAAAAAGAACTATCTCGAGTTCTAGAATGGGTTAATTCCAAAGCCATCGATAAATTTGATAGGTCACTTTATGAGGGAGGCGATAAGTCTAAGGCTAGAACTAAATCGAACAAATAATAGTGTAAATATCTTGTATTATAAATTATTTTGTATCATTAAATTGTTAATATATAAAGGTCAATATTTCGGTTTTTTCTTGACATCATCATAATCCCGACTGGGCGGTCTCTTGTTATTTAATTTCTTACTTCTGGCAATATCTGCCAATTCCTTTAATTTATTCTCCTTTTCATGTTGTTCCTTAATGGCTAATTGTTTTAACATTTCGCTCCGTATTTTTATTTCTTCTCTGGCTTGTTTGTCGGCATTCTCCAACGCTTCAGATAACTCACCAAACTTCTCTAAATTTACATCATTAGTGGCTAATTCTGATCCTCCATTAGCCGCCACCATCCTTTTATCTAATGATATCGTAAAACCCTGATTATTTTTCCAATTGGATATAGCTGATGGGATTTGCCACTTGGCTTGGTCTTCTTTTGTTAATTTGCTAGTTTGTTCGTTATTACTACTTTTCAACAATGGTGGAGGTGGTGATGGATTCTTATGCCTATTTTTCCGCAATTTAAACTTGGGTGGTAACATTGGATCTTCTTGATAATTTCGTATTTGAATAATGCGTTCCCTTCCTCTTTCATCGTCACTTCCTTCTGGATCTTTTACTAAGTTATTACTTGTATACTTTATGTATGTCACATCGTCTTTCTTGTTAGTCTTTTCATCTATTCCCATCTTTTCATTCATCATCTTATTGATCGCAGCTTTTGTATCTTCGACACATTCTCTCAATGAGTCATCCGGACATGTTTCAACTGTGTATCTTGGGAAATGATGCTTCAAGTTTGGGAACTTTACTTTTAGTGGTATGGTATCTTCATATGATGATTGCACTTTTCTTGAGTTACCATTAGAGGATGCAATAGTTAGGTTGTAATTTAAAGTTCCATCTGGGTTTAAATATAATTGGGAGATCGTAGATTCTGAGTTACTAGGATTGTCCATTACCTTTATGTCAGACTTATTTTCGGGCAACTTCACAAGCTGATTCGACTTTTCATGAGGACGAACCTTCTTTAATTTTATTCTCGACGAAGGTTCATGTGATGAGTATTTAGGTTTGGGTAGTAATGAACTGAACATGTTACGATAAATAAATTAGATTAACTATAAGATGACTATATATGTATTTCAGTTCTAAATATTCAAATCGAACTGTGATGATATATACTGCATATAGACATATGTGCCTATAGAGTTCTATATGATCTAGAAAACTCCATACTTTTGGCAAGTAGCAAAGATCCAAAGGAAGAACTTATTAATCTTGATAGGTTGTCTCTTATCTTCGTCGACAAACGAGTCGAACTGTAATTCTTCATCGGTAACTCTTTTTGCCCCACCAATATAATTAAAACTCTTGTAAAAGAGATACATGATTCTTTGTTTCACTGTCAAGTGCACCGTAGCTGGTTCATATACAGTATCATATCGCTCAATAGATTTCGTTAGTCTTGTGATCTCAGAAGCTATTTCATTATCCGAATCTTGGAAATCAAGGTGCTTATCGCGATAAGTCATCATGTGTTGGGGATAATCAGTTATAATCCCATACTCTGAAATGCGGGCTATTTTACCTATGTTCATTAAATACTCAAATTGGTCAAAGGTATTGATAGTCCACATATATAACTTCATGCGTTGCGATTTCAAACGAGGAACAAAAGTTGTTAAGAATCTTGTAGACCAGGTCAGCAAATATATAATCGACACACCGGTAGCCTTGAATCTGACAGATCCATCATTTGGTAAGGTGTCCACATACGAGTTGTAGTTGATATAATGGAGCGAGTCTTTCCACGAGACAGAAATATGGAAAATATCAAATTGTTTGTAGCCCAATGCATTCTTGGAACCGGCCGCAAAAACGTTTTGGAAGTAGCCGTCTTGGTTCAAGAATTTGATGATTCCGAGATCCCATACCCCCAAAATAACTCTATGTAACCACCAACCAATATCATCGTTAACCTTCAATAAGTCTTTGATCAAATATTTAACTAGCTTTGCAGGGTTCAATTTCTTGATGTCCAACATCAACTTGTGCTCATTTGAGTTGTCATGATTTTTAATGTAGTAAACAAACCAGTCTAACACATCCTTGAACGTTAATAACCGTTCACCTGTCTCAATAGTTTGCAAGTCTTTGATTTCATCGTAAGTAGAATCCAATATGTCAAAATCTGCGACTTCGCCGTTGGGACCACAAAATACTCTTTTTGTATTGTTGTCATGGGAAATGACTAAAACCCCGTCTTTTGTAACCCATAGGTCAGTTTCTATCAAGGTAGCACCAGTATCATAGCATTTATTGAAAGAATAAAGAGTATTCTCAGTATATTTACCTTTAAACCCTCTATGTCCGCATATGAGGGCAGTTTCACTCATGTCTGTATTATTCGCTTGATATTCAATTTTTCTAAATTAAAGATAGACAGGCGATTAGCGATGTTTGTAAACGATCGTGTAAACTAGCCTTATGGGTCGAAGCATTCAATTTAATTCTAATAGAAAGAGGAATAAATTAATATTTTAGCATGATATTTTATTTAATTACCGAACTACTCCACGTTCGGTAGCGCACCCGTGACAAAAGGCTGTGATTTCTAGAATTGAATCGGAAAATACAGAAATTTTATTCTATAGACTATAAAGTGTATCTACAACTTGTTCGATGGTTCGGACGCTTGATCTACAACCATCTTGATTAACAGAAATGCGATGGACTCTTTGCTTGGAAGTAATAAACCTTCTGGGTTGGTTGTTAGATCATTGGTTCCGTTGATCAATGTCTTGATAAATCCAACGTCGAACCATCTTGCATCTGCTAATTCTCTATCATGACCCAAATGAATAACTTCATTAACGCCATTGAATTCTACTACTCCAAGACAGCCAATCATTAAGTTGCCAGGGAAAGGCCATGGTTGTGTCAGGACAATATTTATGTCCGAACAAACAACCCCGGTTTCTTCCCAGATTTCTCTCTTGGTAGCAACTTCAACCGTTTCTGACGGTTCCATAAAGCCAGCAGTACATGCATAAAGTTTCGTGTCGGCGTATCGTTTGGCTAGCGATAGCAACACCTTGGTCCTTTCAGTATTGGTGATGGCAGTTATGACAACTGCATCAGTTCTTGGAAAGGACACATTAGAAACGGTGGCATTTCTAACCGGGCACGCGTATTGAGTTTCATCATTTTCATTCTTTCCTTCAGTTTCTTCGTTGGTACATTTCAACTTACCGCCAGCGTGGATAGGAATGACTCTAGAACCACACCCAGGGCAAAACCTATTTCTGGAAAGCCAGTCCAAAAACATTTTTCCATGTGAATATAATGCAGCCTCTTTTGGAGAGAACCCAAGATAATGTTTTCTGGAGTGACTGAAAATTAAGTTGCTTTTATCAATGCCATTTGATTCAGCAACATGATTGATAATCGTATTCTGTAATTCAGGAGATTGAGATAAGTCAACCGCATAGTATGGGATACCTTGGTATCTTCCTTGGTAGTCCAAATATTTTTCTTCCGACCCATTATCCGGGTCCTCCACAGATTTCAAGCTCAGCAAATTCAACCCGACACTTTCATCCTCCAACCCTAAAAACAAGAATGTAGGCATGTTATTATCACGTAACCCTGGATCTTGATCCTTATTGCCACTGCTCCATTCTTCGACTGTCTTGTGCCACGATTCTAGTGAAAATATTCCCTTTTTCACCGATTCTTTTGATCCCAATTGATTGTCACCATTCGTCAACATAATCAACCTTTGATCGCCTCCTTTGTTGATCAATGGATTGGTCTTATCGAAGAAGATGAATCTAGTTGAATCATGAGCAACACTATTACTAATAAAGTCACCATCTTCCCTTAAGAACGAAACTCTGTTAACTATCTCTGCTCCAAAGTATGAGCTATGATCTTGTCCGTGAATAGGATTTAATATGTTGCCCGACATCTTATAATAACTATCTTGTTTACGCTTACTGATTGATGATTGAAATCGAATCGATAGTCTTGGTATCTTACTGAAAACGCCCATATTTCTTCATTATCTGAATTTTGTCAGTTATACCGACGCAATTTATATACACAACACTTACAGTCTTATCGGGCTAATGGCCGGGCCCCATTTCAAATCTTTCAATAATACTACAAATATACCTTTCAAATATGAAGATTAGTTTTTTCTAAGATCAGATGAATACTAGATGACTATTCAAGGGCATTGGGACCAAAAAATTGAGATTTGGTGATCCTTTGATCTTTATAATACTATTGAATCAGAGTCAATCACTCGCAATATAATACAAATATACCAGGAATTAAGATAGATATACAAGTAGCCCAAATATATATTAGCCTCTAAAATATAGTGTCTATTTACACGACGAAATGCCCTTTTGAAAATTATATACAAAATGTTCGGTTTGTCACTCGCTGAAAATGTTAGTTAAAATCCCACTATGATAAGGAAATATGGAAGCATGTAGAATATCAGATATTTAAGATCTTTTCCTCAATATAAAAACTAGGAAGTCTAACGTCTGAAAATCTTTTTTAATCATCATTGAATATGCTTTAGATTTCACCAAAAAAATATACTTACATTTTGACGATGTATTGTTTATCACCAAATATCTTGACATTAATAATATTGAACCCAATATAGTATCTAAGTTAAAGTTAGTATTGATTTGTAAAATTAATCATTTTATCAACTCCGAAGTGTTTCTAATGGTGTCAGTTATTTTGTAGATGTTTTCGTCAACGACATTTGTCTAGGAAGTCAAGCGTTATAAAATCTAAGAAAATCATCATTATAGAAGCATGTGGGAAGCTGTTACTAAATGTGAACATACGTTGTGGAACTGAATAAAATACAAGAAAAAAATATGTTTAACCCAATGGAATACCCTTTTTAATCACCTTAGGTAACCCTTTAATCCACGATTTACCAGTCTTTTTATCAATGATAACGAAGACTCTACCAGATTGCCTCATTCTACCAGTTCTTCCGACACGATGAACTAGATCAACTGATGTATTTGGCAAATCCATTAAAATAACATTCTTGATACCATTAAAGTTCAACCCTCTAGCAAGTAAATCGGTAGTAATCAAAACTTTGATTTTACTGCCATCAAGATCTTCTTCTAGCAACTCGGCTGGTTTCAAGAATGGTTCTATTTTAGCTAACCTGTCGTCAGCATTATCGGCACCCGTTATACCAATAATATCCTCTTCTCTATGACCAAACTTTTCAATCAAAGTATCGGCTAATGGCTGAACGTCTCGCTTTTCATTGACAAATACTAGAATACGCTTAACATAGCCTTGTTCAGTACCATCATTATGAATAGCATATAATGCTTGAGCGAGACATCTGGTCTTAGATCCATTATATGGCGATAATTGGGCATCAATAACCTTAAGATTAATTTGTTTTGGAATCTTGTGTAAGGAAGGTGTTACTATGTTAATGATCGAAAATTCGTCAGGGAACATCTTACTGAGAGTTTTCTTAAACTCCTTCGGAATGGTTGCCGAGCAAAAGATTAAATCTTTACATTTGGAAAGTCTACGGATAACAGACGTTGTGTCTATAATCCAAGATTTATCCATCAAAGTATCGGCCTCATCAACAACACAGTATTCCACAAAATTAAATAACCTGAACGGACGGCTGATGTTCTTCAATTTAGCAAGGCCTTGGATCTTAGCTGGTGTGGTAACTAAAACATCGATTCTTTTTCTGCCGGCATCGAAAAGCTTCTGATGAGAATCACCAGACCCCCATTTTACAACGTTCAAATTTAACGAAGATTGGTTTTCAGGTAACGAAAGGTATCGAGCATACTGGGGATCCTGCAAGATCTTCTTGTTGACACTAGCTTCCAAATCAATCGAGGCCTTAGATGCACGTTTTAGAGAATCGTATACTTGCTCAACCAATTCATGAGTAGGCAACAAAATAACAGACCTAATAACTGAAGTCTTCTTTGAATCCGCATAGCTTTGCTCAGACATATTGAAAACCCTCATATCTTCTTCCTTTAATTTACTGAGTAGCGGCGCCAAATATGCCCAGGTTTTACCGGATCCTGTTTCAGCAGCAATCGTGAAAATCTTCAACCTATTCATCTCGTTGGATTTCTGCAAATCCTCCAAAATTTCTTGTCCCGAAGCCTTCTTGTCTGCAACCTTCTTTTCAGCGTTCACATTACGAAGTCTCGGTTGGTTAATTTTCCTGATAGCAGCAATTTGTACTGGAGAAGGCTTGATTTCCAATTCCTCCTTACTCTTAATATAGGTGCTTTTCAAATTGTACCCATATTTGATCTCCTCGAGCATTGCCGATCTAACGGTTGGAAAGATTCTCAAAGACTCGAATGACGTAATATTCTTTATGGCATTACTCGACATCTCCTTAAGTTTATTCTCCGGTTGGTCCAATCCAGAAAAATTTCCAAACGAAAACAATTTCGGTTGTGTCTTCGGAGCTTCTAACGTCTTCCCTAGCTTCGATCTAATCACTTGACCAGGTTTATGGTTAGCTTTCTTCTTAAATGACCTTGATCTTTTAGAATGGTATCGTACAAATGTAGTAACCGGTCGTTGAATAATTGTGTCTCGCATGACTTTTACAATAGGAACAATCCCTCCTATTTTCAAAGTCATGTTATTCTAGCCTCAATAAATCATCGATAAACTGTTAAAGAAGAATATATATATGAAAAATTTTCCAAATTTATAGACTGGTACTAGCGAGACTAAATTTTTTTGGTGAGGAAAAGAGGTCGTGCGAAATTGACGAAATACATTTGAAAAATTTCAACAGTTATATCAACGATTTGTTAGGTATTTCACAAGACTAAAGTAGCTGTATCAGCATCTTATAGAATGTTAAAATTGTCATTTGATACGTTGTCTAGGACAGCCAGTAGACAGATTCCAACAAATGTGATAAGATCATTTAGTGGGTCTGCATATGTGTTTGCAAAGGCAGCACCAAAGCTGAAAGATGGTAAAAAGAAGGCTAAACAAGGGTTCAAGAACAAAGGGGCAGAATCTAAGACCGCTAAGGTAAAGAAGGGTGGTATGACCCATTTGAAATTTAAGGATGCAGTTCGTTCGTTGAAGTTTGAAAAGTCAGCTACCGATTTCTCACAATTGAATATTAAAGACATATCGTACCAGTCATTGAAATCGATCACATCTACAGTTGTCAAGTATAATGACTATACTGAAAAGGTGTTACAGGATCTTGACTCGTTTAAGAAGTATCAGTATCATGAATTGTTCAGCAAGCCTGTTTCCATGGTGTCTGACAATACCTTGAAGCTCGACGAGCAATTTATATCGAAGTTGGAATCACCTAGTAAAGACAACAGATTATGCTTATTAGGTGAAAAGGGCGTAGGGAAGTCCGTGTTACTTTCCCAGGCTAAGGCGTTAGCCATTTCTAAATACAACAAGGAAGTTATCCTTTTACATTTGGATCACCCACAGAAAATTGTCGAAGGTTCCAGTGACTATGTTTACAACAAAAGAATAGAGAAGTACCAACAACCAATTTTTACCAAGAGATGGGTCAAAAAGTTGCGTGCTGCTAATGAAGAGGTTTTCAAGAAATTACCATTGACGAGAGATATTTCTTTCACCGCTAAGAAAAAGGAATATAACTTAAAGAAAGAGGAAAATACTTTGTATGATTTCATCTTGTATAACCATGATTTTGGTAAAGTGGGTCCAACATCAGCATTCAACTTTTTAATCGAAGAAATCATGCATCATTCTAAGAAGGTTCCTGTTCTTGTTTCAATCGATGATTTCAACACATTAACTAGTGAAACATTAACTAAATACCGTCACCCAGACTTTGAGTCAATTCATTTTACCGAGTTCGAAATGGGTAGCTTTATATTGAAATTGGCCAGCGGTGAATTGAGCTTTGCCAAGGGTGGTGTCTTATTAGCTGAATCAAAGGACATTTCCTACGGCCACACATTACCAGTCGGTTTAGGTCTCGAACAGTACGATCCATACTACAAGCAGCACCAATGTGACTTTGAAGTTGCCAACAGCTTATTGCTGAATGGTGGTGTATCCTCTATGACGGTGGAAAACCTCACTAAGAATCAATGCAGAGAACTCTACAACTTTTGGGATGCGACTGGCGTCTTAAGGGTCAGAGAATATCCTTCTAATGAAGACTATAAGACATCTGAACAAATTGCAGATGAACAAGCTGCTAAGAGATCTGGAGAGGACGAAGAAAAATACGTTTACGACTCAGAAGAACAATTTGAAAATTTAGTTCAAAATAACTTCACAATTTCTTCAGGTAACCCAGGCCACTTGATTAAAACGACCACTTTATCATATTAGGCGATACGTTTGTACAAACAAAATAGTTATCGTTATGTAAATAGAAAACATAATACACATTTATCAAATTGAATAATTTTTATTAATTATTAGAGATCTAAAATACAAGAATATAGAATAGAAATGATGATAATGACAACGGTAATGACAATAATATCTTATAAGGATGTTTCCAACGACTAAGTGAATAACGTATCTTCTTCTCTCAAATATTCACCGATATCTCCTTGTCTGAATGCAACAATACCAGTTGGCTGTAATGCCCTAGCTTCATTAGTCGACTTAGCACTTACCCCAAACCCTAACGGAACATCGTTCATCGAGTAAACTATGACACCCGCATGTTCTGGAATGTCGTCTGACATTCTACCAATATGGGCCTTCAATACATGGTTACCGTACAAGAAAGGCATCTCACCGTTGGTCTTAATCCAGACCTTAAACTTTGCGTATTGTGCTAAGTATGGTAACGAAGTGATATGTAATCTAAACTTCCCAGTCTTGGTGAATTTCCCAAAACAAGTACCGATCGACATTAACTGATGTCTTGACACTGAAGTAGCAAAATTTGCTATTTGTTCTGATACGTAGTATACTCTATCTTTCTGCAAACGGAAAACATGAGGATTCGTTGGATTGTCAATTAAAAACGAAATATTTCTACCAATATAGTTCGCCAACTTCTCGAACACAACCTTTGTTTCTTCTTCTGTTAAGGATCTCATTACTTATGATATATCTTGTAGTATCTTTTTAAATTATCTCTTATAAAGATCAATATTAAGTGTACTTAAAGCCAATAAATTTTTCAATCACGTGGAAATTCTGTGAGGGAAGCGATGAGTAAATTTTTCAGCCAGTGCATTAAGTCCATAGTAGTAAACGTTCATTTTGAATGCAATAACTTACAATGTCTGAACCAGTTAACAACAAAGAGGACGTAAAACCCAAATCTGTTGAATCAGTTGCAGAAGTTCCAAATGATGAAGTGGATGAATCTGTTTATAAAAGGGGTCAGCAAGATAAGTGGACTCGTGCCCGTCAAGGTGATAGAAGAGACAACTCCAATAAAAGATTCAAGAAAAATTCAGGCGATAAAAAGGAGAGGGAACATAAGGTCACGTAGGTATGTTTTTTCAATGCAAATTTTGTAAAGAGTCAAGGAATACTAACTAAGGTAGTGAATTTACTCCAAGAGTAGATGAAAATGGTAACCCATTGCCAAAATCGGAAAGAAGACCTAAAAAGAAGGTTGCATGTATGATTGGATACTGTGGAACTGGATACAATGGTATGCAGATCCAAAACAATCTTGATGCTAAGACTATTGAAGGGGATTTATTTCAAGCGTTTGTAAAGGCCGGTGCGATCTCTCCAGAAAATGCGGACGATTTAAAGAAGAATGGGTTTATGAGAGCTGCCAGAACTGATAAAGGGGTTCATGCTGCAGGTAATGTCATTTCATGTAAATTAATTATCGAAGACGAAGATATTTTAGAGAAGATCAACAAGGAATTACCTGACCAAATTAGAGTTTGGGGTATCGAAAGAACCAACAAATCGTTTGATTGTCGTAAAATGTGTTCTTCAAGAGTATACGAGTATTTATTACCTACTTACAGTTTCTTACCACCAAAGCCTAAAACTGTTTTATCCGAATTGGTTAAAAAAGGTAAGGCTGACCATCCAGGAATAGTTAGAGATGACCCTGAGGGTGACAAATGGTGGGCTGAAACCTCTCAAGCTATTTTAGACAGTGGAATTTCCCAAGATGATGTCAATAAGGCACAGTCTATCTTGGAAGCTACTAACAGTGTTGATGATGGAAATTCTGAAATTAACAAGGAAGATACTAAGTTATACAACGAGAACGGTGAAATAACCGAGACCGGAAGATTGATTAAATCGATCAAGCAAATCGAAAACAAGAGAAGAAGGTCCTATAATGTGTCTAAAGAGAGGTTGGAATTATTCCGTGAAGCCATGAAACAATATGAAGGTTCTCATAATTTCCATAATTTCACTCTAGGTAAGTTATATAAGGATCCTTCTGCAAGAAGATATATGAAATTAACAACTGTATCTGATCCGTTTGTTATTGAAGGCACTGAATGGGTTTCAATCAAGATTCACGGGCAATCGTTTATGTTACATCAAATTAGAAAAATGATTTCCATGGCAGTTTTAGTAATTAGAACTGGGTGTCCAATTTCAAGAATCCAAGATTGTTTCGGTCCAACTAAAATAAATATTCCAAAAGCGCCTGCTCTTGGTTTATTGCTTGAGAATCCTGTCTATGAAGGATATAACGGTATGTTAGAAAAATTCGGTTATAATAAAATTGAATTTGAACCTTACAAAGAAGAGATCGATAAGTTCAAGATGAAGTTTATTTATGAAAAAATTTATGGTGAAGAAGTTAAAGAAAATGTATTTTATGGGTTCTTTGGATTCGTAGATACATTCAAAGGAAATATCGAATCGAAAGAAGGTAAGCATATTTTCGATTTCTTAGGCGCAGTGTTCGAATCAGGTATTGCCAAGGATGAAAATAAAGTTGTAGAAGAAAATAAAGACGATCAAGATAATGCCCCTGTTAAACCACAGGATAACGTTGATTAGTTTATATACGAAGCATTAGTAGTAATATACAACTTGAAAATTCTACGAAAACAATGTAGCCCTAGTCTACTTATATTTATATATAATTATATCTTTTAAATGAAGTACACCTAGAACAGTTAAATAATCAAGACAATATATATTAGTAATATATAAATTTATGAAAATGATATTATGCAATTAAATTGATATTCTACGATATCTAAAATTTTTTTTAATTTTCTGGTTTTCACTTTCCAAGCATACGAAACAAATAAGCAATAAAAATCAAATTAAACTAAAGCCAAGTAGAAAGATTGTTTGATGAAGCTTGTTGAGCTTGCAGACTTTGATTATCATTTATACGACGGACAACCTTAGGTTTTGAATCATCCTGAGAAGGACTATTAAAGCGTTGGTTACTATTAACATTCGAATAATTTTCGGGCATTCTTCTAACTTTCGGTTTCTGTTGGTAAATAGTATTGAATTGTTGTTGTGGAGATTGCGAGTTATATGGCACAGAACCTGGTTGTTGGACCGGTTGATTTTGAGATGGGGGAGTACGGTGCATGTTTTGAGGTATAGCATGTTGTTGATTTATATCTTGTGGTGGCAATTGTGGTGGTTGTTGTATTTGCTGCTGTTGTTGCTGTTGTTGATGTTGTTGCTGTTGATATTGTTGGTCATTGTTATTTTGTTGGTCATCAGTTATCTGTGATTGTTCCCTTTGTTTTTCCTGTTGGAACTTGTATAACGTCCAATCGAAAACATAATCATATCTATAGTTTTCTCTCTTGAACAAATCTCTGAAAATTTTCCTCAAGTACGGATAGTCAGGCTTATCATCGAATCTCAATGTTTTAATGTAGTTCATATAATCCAAAAATTCTTTTGGTAACCCCTTGGTTAAAATATCATTTGGGGTTGTCATCTTCTTTTCCATGATTCTATCGTACTTTTGTCTCTTGGTGGCAGCCTTTAACCCTTGCCATGGTAATGAGCCTCTGCAAAAGTAAATTAACACGTAACCCAAACTTTCCAAATCATCTCTTCTCAGCTGTTCGATCCCCAAGTGGGTGTTAACGGATGCATATCTGGCAGTACCGGTCAAGTTCTTATTTTCTCTATAAGGAATATGTAAGTGAGTTCTTGGATCTCTATATTTCTTTGCCAATCCAAAATCGATAACATTCACCTGCGACCCCCTTCTACCTATACCCATCAAAAAGTTGTCTGGCTTGATATCTCTATGGATGAAGCATCTGGCATGAATGTATTCGATTCTGCAGATCAACTGGTCTGCCAACAACAATACAGTCTTGTATGTGAACTTTCGATTACAATAATTGAAGAGATCTTCCAACGATGGTCCCAATAAATCAATAACCATCGCATTGTAGTCACATTCGGTACCATACCACCTAACAAACGGAATTCCTACCCCTCCACTCAATGCTTTGTACACCTTTGCCTCATATTCTAATTGTGGATGCTTTGCTTTGGTGTTCTCTAATTTGATGGCAACCTCTTCGCCTGATATGATATTCGTCCCCAAATAAATATCTCCAAACGACCCGGACCCAATCTTACGTCCAATCCGATACTTCTTGCCCACTCTTAAATCCATTTCTAGTTGTTGTGATGTTGATCCTGTTAATTAATTACACGAAGCAATTTTAACGTATACGTATTAAATTTTTATAATTTAGTACTCTCGAATCAAGTATTTTTATCGATATACTTGTATTCTTGTATCGTACCGTATAATTTAGATCAATACAATATATTAATTAGATTATATACTATCTACCCGCTGGAAACTAGGAAACAAGAGAAATTTGATTCTGGTTGATGTTAAAACACAAAGTGTCACAAAACAACTCAAAAAAAATTATTCGGAAAGTTTACACAAAACTCCATACTCTAGCAAAGGCCGTACCTGGAACTTGATGCAAAATAATGCTGTTTTAGATAAATAATATAAATTAACAATTAAAACAAGAGGTATATATATACTGCATAAGATATGTATCAGTAAGCATTACTAATGTTAGACAAAATACTCAAAATGAGTCTATATTAAGGGGTCAGAAAGTTATTTTGCGGCAGAAGACTTCTTGAATTTTCCCAAAAATCTCTTGAAGAAAGCATCTTTCTTCACTTCGCTGTTCACATTCTTGGAGGCCTTTTGGACATCGGCTTTGGCGGTTTCGCCCTGCGAGGCCAAGTCTGGTCTGGTGGTGTCTTTAGCACCTTCCGCACCTTCAGCACCTTCGGCACCTGTGAGGCCTGCGTCGTCGTTGACGGCTTCTTGGAGTCCTACTGGAGAGTCTGCGGTGATTTTCTCTTCACCAGCTGACACAGCTGGTGCGGCTTCTGGTACTGGCTCAGCTGCTTGTGGAGCAGCTTCAGTTTGTGGGTTAGTTTCTTGAACTGCAGTTTCTGGAACTGCTTCAGATCCTGCAACTACAGGTTCTGGGTTTGCTTCACTTTCTGCGAATGCAGGTTCTGGAACTGCTTCGGCTTGGTTAACTGCTTCGGCTTGGTTAACTGTTTCAGTAGCTGGAGCTGCTTCGGTAGCATTGGCAAGTTCAGTGTCTGGGACGGCCGAAACGTCTTGGGTAGGTAATTGACCCTCGGAGGCATCGGTTTGTGCGATGGCTTCTTGAGAAACTGGCTCGTTACCTTCACCGATAACGCCTTCTTGTTCGGTAGCACCAGTTTCTAATGGCTCTTCGGTCTTCTTGACTTCTGGTTCCCCTGCACCTGTGGCTGTTGTTTCATGGCCAGTGACGTTCTTGGAATCATCTCTGGCGTAAGAATCGTTGATAAAAATTCTCGATGTTCTCTTTAACTTATCTTTAATACCCATTGTCGGTAATGTTTCTAATCGCTTTCAATATAAATATAGCTTAAATACTAATTAATAAAAAGTGGGTTTATATTTTTGGTTCGAACTTCTAGAGCATATTTTATTTTTATTTATGGCCACCGATAATAATGACCTAACCCATACACTGGCCACAATGTTAACCAATTGGCTTAGTTTTATTATTTACGTCCCAATCCAGAAATTACACGATTGTATTCACGTCTCTCTCATTGAGCCAGGCTGTACCACATTAGCATACCATTTACGTCGTGTCGTTCGATTATCACTTGACTACAATTGAGGCATAACTAATTCTGGTATCACGCTAAATTCACGATTCTTTCAATTCTTATGTATGTAGACGTCATGTAATGTACCTTCTAATAGTACTACCACCGCAACATACGGCAACCTCCTCCCGTATTCGATCATTTACTCTGTTCAAGCCGCTTACATTATGGTTGAGCCGTTTCCGTTTAAACGGCTGAAAGACGCGGCTTATGTAATTACGTCTAACGTTTATTACACCAAATGCATACAATATGCTGTTGATACATGCTACAATGGTTCCATAATATGTATAACAGTGGCAAAAGCAAATGGTATGTATATCACTTCAGTGCGAGTTTATATCAATGCAAGGCTGAATAATATCATGAAACAAGCAGCGAGACTAATGTCTCAGGCGTAGGATACGATTGTCTCGTGTGACAATTTGGGTTCGGTCATGGATTCGGGTTCGGTGTGCATCCGCCCTGGATCCGCCCTGGATCCATCCACAGAAACCACACGAGGAGAATTCGGGAGTCACGAGGAGGTAAATAGTGGATGGGGCTTTTCGGTTTATGGCTTACGTGTATTTGGTACCCCCTATGGACCAAAGGGATATAAAATTCCCACAATACGATGCAGCCTACCAAACGAGCAGATCCTTCTGGAATCCGTCTATCTACAAGGTAGAAATTTGCAAAAGAGGTGAAATTGTGATGCATGGTACAACTTGTCATGGCTTTATTTACGCACGGGACTAGTCCAGTTGATTACAATGCTAGTGTGGGAGGCTGGATGCTTATCAAGCACCATAAGTCGCGATGGGTCGCGGATATTAATAGCATACGGTTTACGGGATTCGGGATTCTAGCCGCAAGGTGGCATACCAAATAAAACCGGCCGCGGTGGCACATTTGTAGTGACAACGGTTCAATTGTATTGATATGATCAGTTCAATATAAAGATATAGCTCTAGAGTGTAATTTGAATCTACTAAACCATATAGGTTGCGTTATTTTTAAAAGTGGTGTGGTCCTATCGGCTCGGAAACCCGTCTTCAATCATTCCTCCCACCGAGAATACCGCGTCGTAGTGATATGTACGGCGTGATTGCATCGGTTAGTCTTGTATCTGTAGGGAAAAGATAATCCAGGAAATAGCTGGCTATTCTCATCTGCGTCGAGCATCGCGATGAGCAGAGGAATACTTTTTCCGCCTTTAGTACTTCCTAATCCGGATATGTTCCTGACGAAAGAAATTCGATGTTTTCTTAAAGCCACTAATCGCCACTATAACATACCTGGCCATATTCCCGGGATCCACAGTCACTCGTCTACTAATGGGTCTATACGTTTGATTGCAAAATCTACACCATGAACTATTTAATGTCGTGTGTTTACCCATTTCCCTCTTTCGGTTATATACAGTCCGGGATAACAAGAACATAAACAAAGGCTAACCACAATAAGCTGATCGGGTTACATCAACATAGAGTGAAATATATGCCTGGGAGTATGACTGCGTCGTCAAGTCAGCTTAAACGGATAGAGACTCGTATAGAGAGTTTATCGGAATCGTTGTCCAAGTCGAATGCACGTAAACCACTTGGTAAATTCCAGCTAAATACATTCGATAACAACAAGATCACCAAGCTCCAAAATGAGAAAATGAAACAACTGAAAAGCTCCCATATACCGGTCAAACTGCCAATACGAAAGAAAGGACATTCTCCAGCTCAAAACGAACGTATGGATTCAAAATTGTCGTTACAGAAATTGCCTTCGGCAAGCAGACATATGACATTGGATGATTTTGAAATTGGTAAAGTACTTGGTAAGGGAAAGCTAGGAAAAGTGTACTGTGTTAAACATAAGACATCGGGATATATAGCAGCATTAAAGGTAATGGCCAAAAAAGACCTTATAGACTTGAAGTTGGAAAAGAACTTTCGTCGGGAAATCGAAATACAATCTAATCTAATTCATCCCAAGATATCACGGTTATATGGTTTCTTCTACGACCATAAAAACGTTTATTTGATATTGGAATACTCGATTCACGGTGAGTTGTACCATCATTTAAAAGTTCAGAGAAGATTCAATGATGCAACCGCTTCACATTATATTTATCAAGTAGCATTAGCACTCGACTATTTGCATACAAAACACATCATTCATCGGGATATTAAACCAGAGAATATATTGCTATCAACAGATAATTGCATCAAGTTGAGTGACTTTGGATGGTCAGTCAAGAGTCTGCCCAGCTCCACTACCAAAAGACTAACTATATGTGGTACATTGGATTACTTGCCCCCAGAAATGATTGAGTCTAATGAGCATGATTACACTGTTGATATTTGGTCTTTGGGAATCCTTTGCTACGAGTTTCTTGTTGGGAAGCCTCCATTTGAAGAAATTGATAAAAACTCGACCTATAAACGTATTGCTAAAGTTGATTTGAAAATACCTAGCTTCATCAACAGTGAAGCCACAGATTTAATTTTAAGATTGTTACAAAAATCACCTAAAAAGAGAATAACATTGGCTGAAGTTATGAATCATCCTTGGATTTCGAATAATAAACAGTATTGGCCTAACGAAAACTGATTAAAATAGTTTGTATGCTTTAATCCAATCAACTAGTTTCACTTCTGCATCTCATATTTCACGATAATATATAGATTGAGCTAAATATTAAATATATTTCTTTTGCATCGGATACATTAGTAAAGATGGCAGGTCTTTTATGTGTCGCCTCATATCATATTACGAGTTAATATTTATTTATTATATAGCTAATATACATATCAGGTCTGCTGTTGTTGCTGTTGTTGTTGCGCTCTAGCTTGACGCTGCTTCATAAGCATCATTTGTTGTTGTTGCAATTTTATTATTTGTTGTTGGAACAATTGTTGCTGCATTGTATTATGCTGGGAAGTAAGCAAAATTGCTTTCAGCGGTGCTCTTACCAGATACATTTCTCCGACAATGGACGAAATGTTCTGGGTCAAGGAATCCCCATTACTTGTGCCTTGGTCGACGTTCACTAAAGCACAACGACCTTGAAGTCCGCCCATAGATCCTGAAATGGCTTGGTTTGCTAATGTCAGATCATTTGAAGAATTACTGGCGGAGCTGTTATTTGTAGTATTGTTATTACCAGTATTAATTAATGCATTAGCATATGCTTCTCTCATATACAAGAATTTATGACGGTTTCTGGTAGGCAACATAACTTTTCTTTCTAATGGTATAGGATAATTTTTCGAAACACCCTCCAACACAAGATGTGTTTCTTCATCAGCATCCAATACCTTATTGTACATGCCATTGGATGCCATACCGTCTTCATCATTTTCGTTTCCACCGTTAAATGCTGCATTTTCCCTTCTTTGAACTGCAAGCGCATTATTTGCTGCCAACTTGGCTTGGTTCCGTTTCTGATATTGCTGTAACAAGACATCATATGGAGCACTTCTGCCCAAGACTGCTCTCTTGGCTCCCATTGAATGGGTTTTACACGTCAAGGATCTTGCACAGTATCCACCAGATGGTAATGGAACACCACATTGTTTTTCAACATCAACTGGTCCCTTAGGTTTAGTCAGGTTCTTAGGTTTCGGTTGTTTCTTTTTCTTCCCAACTCCATTACCAGTACCAGCTGATGACGGAACGGAACTACCATTAGAATTAGCTGCTGCTGCCGCTGCCGCTGCTGCGTTGGCAGCTTCCTTCTCCTTCTGGGTCTGTGACTTTTTGTATTTCTTCTTGGGTTTTGCTACACCGTTTGTGGAAACCGGTGTACCTGAAATCGGTGTGGTATTTCTTGACGAGTCCGCCGATGAAGGTTCAACATCTAATAATGGATTAGCTGCACCTCTCCCTCTTTTCCGTTTATTGGTGCTATTGTTATAGTTACTGGAACTTGAATCTTCTTCTTGTTGCTGTTTCTTCTGCTTCATTTCCGAACACTTTGAAAAATGGCTCTCTAAACTATTATCTCCAATCGGTCTGTTACAAGATTTGCAAACTTTGTACTTAATGACTTGTGACAAATAAGAATTATCCGTTGACGACTTATTGATTAAACTTGAAGCTGCTAGAGTATCACCAATATCTGGATTCAAATGCGTATCTAATTTCTTATCAAGATAAACTCCAAAGTCTTTCCACACAATAGGTTTTTTATTTGATTCGTTATTGTTAAGCGAATGTACACTAGCTAAAGATATGGCTTGTTTGGATCTACCAGTGGACATTCTCTATTATGGAGAGACGACAATACTCTTCTATTATAAATACAATGTTGAAATTAATATATCCCCTTAACTCAACACGTTGTTATTAATGAATATTCTCACTTAAGAGTACACTATTAGATTGATCTTTAGAATGAGTCTACTAAGTATATGTACTGGTATGGTTCTGGTTCTACATTTTAAAAGATACCGTTGATCAAAAGTTACACAAACCTGCTCAGATAATTTTTAACTATAGATTACAAAATTAAAACATTAACATATATACTTAAGACTCCAATATCTGTAGTTTTCTCCCGCGTTTTGATATTGTTAGTAAAGGATTTGTTTGGAAGTTTGCCCGTTGATTTGTTAGATTTTTGTGGTGCTTCTTGAAATGCCTAAAATAACTCAATAGAGGGTTTGATTTCATCTTCCAGCATCCGACTTCTATAATTTCAAAACAAGCTGGACATGCAAGAGCCTCAGTTACACGAGGCTTGTGTAATGTCCGCCTTTTTATTATATTGCCGTTAGAATCTTCGGGACTTTCAGAATTCGGCGTAGTATCACTGTCATAAATATGAGAATTTTTGGTGATAAGGTATCTGCCATAACAAACACCTTCAGGAGTCAAATAGTTGTTAGAAAAAATTCCATGTTCTAAGGTTAGATGGGACAAATAGCTAGAATTCTTGAATGGTAGAAACTTGACTTTCTCACAGTAAGCACACATTCCACATTTGCTTTCATTAACTAAGTCGCCGTGGTCGTCTAGTTCAAATCTGTAATACTGAGGTTCATAAGGATTATTAAAATCGTAAATCGAGCTTTTTTTGTAAACAATGTTTGTTATTGTACCGTCTAACTCACTAACGTCTCTAGAATATTTTACCCTTTGCCATAATGTTGACATGGGCGGCGGTTGGATTATCAGAGAATCTGTCTTTATAACTTCGATTAATTTCACATCTGTGGATCGTTTTGCGTTTGGATTAATTGCTTCGTTCGTCAAATTATTATTCATCACCGGTGAACCAATTAATCTTCCTTTATACCCATTGTAGTCGATGGTTATAGAGAGACATTGTATGCTTGATTCCTTGATTGATAGTTTGATGCCATCGTTAGCGGAAGTCAATCTAAATTTATCAACGATAAATTTTGGTATTGTATCTGTACTTTTTCTGTCTCTCTTGGTCTTTGAGTCTTCCGTTGAAAATAATTCTAGTTTCAATTTTGGCACCGGAGAGACCTCAACCTGCTTGTCGTTATATTCATTAGTTGTTAAGCTTTCTATAGAGTTTGTCTTTGAATTCATCATATTCATTTGATTCATATATTGTTTCTGACTGTAATGATAGTTTTCAGGTACCTTCACTTCAGTGTCACAATTAAGCTTATTATTTTGGATACCCCAGACCGTCGAAGCCTCCTCAAAGTTACCATCGTATATACCTTCAGGCTCGAACACTTCTTTAGCGAATTCATAAATAGTTTGATCATTTTCAAAACTATTCGCCCTTTGTTTAGACTCCTCCCGATACCCGTCGTAGTTAGGCATGCTCTCAAGTAATGAGCGTGGATTGGAACCACTCGACAAAGATGGCTGCGAAATTTCCTTTTCTACGTACATTGAAGGTAATGTAGAATTATCCAAAGCAGGAATCATCTCGCCCAGTATAGTTGAGCTTATTGAATCATTGGAGTATCCCAACTCGGGATTACTTCTGCTCGTGTATATATTGTGGTAGTTATCAATTCCTGAAGAATTTAACTTGAGGTCGTCCGATTTTGGAAATGTTCCAAATTGCAAATTTGTATTTTCAGTAATTTTGGAAATAGAACCAAGCTTTCTCTGCTTCGACCCATTAATACTTAAATGACTTGGGTTTTGTATATTGTTGTTCATCATCATTATTTGACTTTGAATATAATCAAAATGCTCCATACTCGTCAAGTTTCTATAAATTTTGCAAATATAATAATAAATTCTAATTCAAGGAAACTACTATTAACATTACAACAGAATAAAATGAAACCAGTCTGAATGTTCGTTTCTTTATATTGATAATTATTTAACCAAACCATCTTTCTTGGTATGCCGTATTGCAACAACATTTATAAAAAACGAGTCCATGTCATTCTCAAATGGGCTCACATAACCTAGGTTGAAAATTAAATATATATTTCATAAGCATAATAATCTATAAATATACACCACTACTTCTATATTAAGTTATATGTTTTCTTATTCTATCTTTTAATTCTCTTCAAGTACTAAATGATAATCGTGGAAGGCTTTATCTAATCGTGTATATAGATATTTCATCGCAGCCTTTTTTTTTTTTAAATTTTTCACTCCATATATTTGATCCAATTGTAGTCTCCAGAATAGTAATATCCTAATATTAAATCTTAATATTAATAGTAACGGAATGTCATTAGGAAATACTGTCCTTGCACTCTGTTGCATGCTATACCTCCTTTCTGGGGGGAGATGGTCCATAGTGATAGCTGCTGGTACCTTATCTTTGATGTATTCTAAGAACAAGCAGTCTTCTCAAGTCATTTCGAGAAGCATTTCTGAAGACAAAGCAGTTGAAGGAGAAAATAGTAAGCCTTCTCCAATATATGCGGTTGACTTTACTTCGACTTCATTTACTCCTGAAAGTACTACAAGTATCCCAGATAATAAGTCCCGAAGCATCAAGCCTATTTCATCTATAAGAACTAGAGGTAGAAGGTCACCTAAGATTATCAAAGCTAATAAGCCGATAACCAACAATAGTGAACCATCTTTGACTAGATCTACAGTAAATTTACTTGACTCACAGATATATATCTTTTATACCACATTGACAGGATCTTCACAAAGAGTTGCCAAAGCTTTGTATGAGAAACTTGAAAATTTGCCAAATTTGACCAATAAGCCAAAATTATTAAGTCTTGATGATGACGTTGACGATCTTGAGGAATACTTCTTAAAGACACCTGAATCAGAGAAGAATAAAAGCATATATCTTCTAGTTTTACCTTCGTATGAAACAGATTCACCTATTGACTATTTCTTGGAACACTTGAAAGAAACCTATCAAGATTTTAGAGTGGATAAATATCCTATGAGATCACTTTTAGGATTTGCCGTTTTAGGATTGGGGGATTCTGAATCATGGGCAGGTGATAAGTTCTGCTACCAAGCAAAATTAGCCGACAGATGGATGGGTAAATTAGGCGGAAGAAGATTGTATCCTGTTGGAGAGGTTTGTATGAAATATGACGGTGAACCTAAGACGAACACTTGGATTCAAAATTTTGCATCTTTGTTAGCAGACGATGAACCATTTTATCTTGATGCTAATGATGAAATTGACGATAGTGATTATGAAAATGATGATGATGATGATGGCGAAGACGCCAACACTTTAGTTGATGTGGAAGACATGGGTGACATTATTAAAAAACAGGGCACAAAGGGCTTATCGAGTCAAACGGAAGTAAAACAAATGGTCGCCAAAGATTCTCCAACTTTCAAGTCTTTGACGAAGCAGGGTTATACTATTGTTGGATCACATTCTGGAGTAAAAATATGTAGATGGACTAAGAGTGCGTTGAGAGGAAGAGGCTCTTGTTACAAATTTGCATTTTATGGTATCAAATCACATTTGTGTATGGAAACCACACCATCTTTGGCTTGTTCGAATAAGTGTGTATTTTGCTGGCGTCATGGTACTAATCCGGTTGCAAAGCTGAACTGGCGTTGGGAATTGGATCCTCCAGAAAAAGTCATGGAAGGAGCATTACAAGGACATTACCAAAAGATTAAACAAATGAGAGGTGTTCCAGGAATTCAGATGGATAGATTTGACGAGGCTTTTAAAGTTAAGCATTGTGCATTATCGTTAGTCGGAGAACCTATCTTCTACCCTTACATTAATGAATTTGTTGGCATGTTACACGAACAACGTATTTCATCATTTTTAGTCTGTAATGCTCAACATCCAGACCAACTTGCAAAATTGAATAGAGTTACCCAATTATACGTTAGTATTGATGCACCTACAAAGACAGACTTAAAGAAGGTTGATCGTCCGTTGAACAGCGATTTCTGGGATAGGTTAATGTCATGCTTAGACATTTTGCGTACCACTCAATCACACCAACGTACTGTTTTCAGATTGACCTTAGTTAAAGGTTTCAATATGAATGATATCTCGAGTTATGCTGATATGGTTATAAGGGCCCAGCCTTCTCAGATCGAAATTAAGGGTGCTACTTTCTGTGGATCTTCAAATAGTAATGGTAATCCATTAACTATGCAAAATATTCCATTCTACGAAGAATGTAAGCAATTTGTTGTCAGTTTATCAGAAGACTTAAAATCAAGAGGATATGATTATGAGATAGCTGCAGAGCATGCACATTCATGCTGTATCTTAATGGCCCACAAAAGGTTCTTCCTTAATGGAAAATGGCACACTCATATTGACTACCCTAGGTTTTTTGAATTATTAGAAAGCGGTGAAGAATTCAATGATGTCGATTACATTAAAGAAACCCCTGAGTGGGCAGTATGGGGCTCTGAAGAAGCTGGGTTTAATCCAGTCGATACGAAGTTTGACAGAAAAGCAGAAAAAATGAAAAATAAGTTGGAAAGAGAAGAAAAAGCTAAGAGGGTGCTTGAACAACAAAAAGTTCATTAATTTTTATAAATTTACATAAATATATATATTTCATGTCCTAGTAAAGTATTCAAATACTAAATACTGCAGTAGACTATGTAATATTATAATATAATGTGTACAATAAAACCAAAAATCACTCAGTGTATTTAAAACGAGCGTAATATTCCGATTTCAAAATGCTGAATTGAACACATTTCAGTAATTTCATTTATCAATTGAATCATAAGATACTTAAATCGACATTCATGTCAGGGAAATTAGGCAATAATTCCAAGAAGATCGCGTTTGTCCATCCGGATCTTGGAATTGGAGGAGCTGAGAGATTAGTCGTTGATG